GACACGTGTTTCGCTATACAATAGCTTCTTCAAGCATAAACTGAGAGTAACTTCTAAAAAAAAATGTTTTCCGGTAATCAGCTGTCGCACCCATACGAATGACAACTCTCAGAAGTTGAGAAACTCCTGCGAGCAAAGGACTAACAAGGTTTCACCTCAAAACGTGTGATTCCAAACACGGAATTTTTATCAATACGTTTATTATGTTTCTTTAGGTGTGTTTACATGTTTTGTGAATTTACAATTTTTGTGTGCCCTGCTTTAGGCTTATGCCTCTTCAGGGGCAGGGGCAGGGCCTAACACGGAATCACCATTACACCATTTTATACTATATCCTAGTACCTATTTGTCTACCTGAATAATAAATCTACCTGAAAAGGTCAGATATGAATTTATTAACAATATCAATATATTTTTCGAAAGTATACCTGTAAATATACCTAACTGTTTTTACCTTCGAATGAAAAGATTCAATAATGGCGATTCATTCAATTCAGTTTGATCGTACCTAAGTTGTTAAGAATTTTTTAATTTGTTTATTTCCATACTCTCCAACAGGTTAAGTTTCAAACCTTTCGTCTAGAAATGAAGGTGTTTGTATTCATAGTTGAACTCATGTCCCTCTGAGATTAAATGACTGGCATATGTGGAATTTATTTTTCCATTCTGAAAACTATATTTGTGTTCCTTTATGCGGGCTTTGAACGTTCTTCCAGTTTGACCTACATAAAACATCGGACATGAACCACACTGACAGAGATGCACATTAAAAATAACAAAGATAGAAGTTCAGTTTCAGAAAAATCAGGAGTGTATAAATTATCGTGTGAGTCATGTCCGATGTTTTATATAGGTCAAACTGGAAGANTAAAGCTGGCAGAAGATTCGATATTATCCATGTCATTCGTGTAGAATAAAAATAAAATTGGCCCCAAAACAGAGCCTTGGGGAACGCCCATAGAGATATTTTGATATGCAGATTTAGTGGAAGATATACTAACAAATTGTTTTCTGTGTGTTAAGAAACTCCGTATCCAGTCGAGTGAAACTCCACGAATACCATATTTGTACAATTTAGACAAGAGTACCTCATGCTGAACGCAGTGAAATGCCCTGCTGAGATCACAGAAGATCCCAACAGGGCACTCACCTGATTCGATTGCTTTGATCAATTTTTCATAAAATGACAACACCGCACTCTGAGTTGACCGTCCTGGCAGGAAACCATGTTGATTATCTTAGAAGATGCTATGACGTAATGCGAAATTCATAAGTCTTTGGAGATAAGAATATTCAAAAACCTTAGAAAAGCGGGATATGACAGTAACAGGCCTATAATTTTCAAGGTTTGTTGGACTTTGCTTTTTGTATACTGGGATGACTTTGCCGATTTTCAATAAAGATGGAAAACATCCACAAGTGAAAGAAAGATTAACTAGATAAGATAGAGGCGAAATAATGTGACGTAACACCTTATTCAAAATAAATGACGGAATCTCATCTGGCCCCGAGTTCTGGTTATAGTATAAAATGGTGTAATTTAGAAGTAAATCTCAGTTTATGCTTGAAGAAACTATTCTAAAGAGAAACACGTGTCGCGGTTGTAAGGGTTGTAAAACTCTTATAGTGAAAATCATACAATAAACTGTATTGATCAGTTTTTTTTCAATATTTTCAGAAAACCTAGCTATACAGACATTACAATCCCAGGTAATACTTTTCATCCAGACAGTCATGAATTAACAGCCTACAATTCAATGTTTCACAGAGCATTCTCACTGCTTTCGTCTACTAACAATCTAGCTGGGGAAATTGATAAAATTACACAGATAGGTCATAATAATGGTTTCAACGCAGATACAATTCAGAAGTTAGTCAGAAAACCAAGCCATGAATTTACTTACAGAAAATCATACCCCCAGATCAAATAATCAAGGAATGGATAACTCTAACGTATTTTGGTAAAAGAACGAAGATAATTGAGGGATTCTTCAGAAAAAACAAAGTGGAAGTGGCATTTAGAACACATGCCAGGTTATCTGATTTCATTTTCAATGCCAAAGATAAAGTGGACAAGTTGGAGAATTCTGGAGTTTATAACCTTGAGTGTTCGGAGTGAAATAGTATTTATGTGGGAAAATGTGCTCGAAATTTCCAAAAACGGTATGCTGAACATGAAAGGTCCTTCAGACTAGGAAAAAATGATTCGACTTCTCCCGAATATAAACGATACGGACATTTTGCACTATGTAGGGAATGGTTGCAAACTCGATTATTTGGAATCCTTGGAAATTCGATTTGTTCTTGTTTCGTCAATTCGTGATTCGTTACCTGCCCCAAAATTTCTTGTTTCGTCACCTGTACCTTTTTGACCTTTTCCAGGTAATAATTTATTCCGCATTCGTCAGCTGGGACTACTAGGGCCATAAAAGTCCGTAAACCTAACCTAACCGTAAAACAGAGGTTTTACTAAAATTTAGACATAATAGGCTTTGACTTTAATGTTTCTAAATTTGACTTTCAATTTGTTACAGTCAATGAAATTTTGTTATTGTACAAGTCGTTGAATTTTTGGCAAAAAATGGCTTTCACGAATGAAGAAAAAAAATATATAATACAAATTTATTACAAATACGATAGAAACAGTGTTAGGACATCGGAAATATATTTTTAACTTGTATCCCGGAAGACGACAACCACATCGAACTATGTTCAAGTTATTGGATCAAAATCTCACCGAGTTTCGTTCGTTTGAAAGGCCAATGAAAAAATACGGAGACAGAATCAACAATCAAAATTCGATAAATGAGGTGTGTATGTGGTAAATTAGAGATTGTGTCATTTTCAATGAAAATGGAACTTTGAACAAATAACAATAATTAACTAAAGTAAATCACAGCAAATGCTCAAAATGCTGGCCTTGTTGAAGAAAACATAACTGTGCCCTTCTTTGAATATTATTCACTACACGATTAATTTCCCTTCTCCTCAATCTTCCGAACTCTATAACAATGCTGTGTTGAAGGTCCTCATTATTTTGATATTCCCTCTGACCATAAACTATATTTTTCAGTGGACCCCATGAGAATATATCCATAACACTTGAGTCTGGAGACCTTGCTGGCCACCTCAGTCTCATTATTCCCTATCCAATTATCACCAATCCTTTCAGTTAATGGGATATAGTTAATGGTTTTGAGAAGGGTCATCACAATGCTGTGACACTTTGTGATTTGAGTAAAGCATTCGACTGCGTTTCTCATACAAATTTGTTACATAAACTGGAAGAATATGGAGTCAGAGGTGTAGCACTTTCACTCTTTTCATCGTAATTAAGGCATAGAAAACAGCTAGGCAATAACAGAACATCTGATCTACAGCCGATTGAGCTCGGAGTTCCTCAAGGGTCTGTGCTGAGGCCTCTTCTATTCATAATTTATATCAAAGATCTCTTCTGTGAATTATTACCTTACACATGTGTCATTTATGCACATGACATATTGATCCTGTGCTCTGACAACAACTGTCAGAATCTGCTCGCAGCCATGGAACTTGCAGAAAGACAAGCTGAGTCGTGGTTCAATTCAAATCTACTGAAACTCAATGAGGAAAAAACACAAAAAATAATTTTCTCAACTATGAACTGGTCACCTCATATAGAGGTATTAAACCAGAATGAGTTTATTTACCATAATGATCACAACAGAAATATTATAAAATAGCAGGGTAAACAAACAAAGACATCGAAAAAGGAACATTTTCGAAAAAAATGTTTCTTAAGCGTGATATCGCCTAGTACAAAGTAATAACATGAATAAATATACAATACATAGATAAATACACGGATATCGTAAAATAAGACTCCAGTAGTGAACGAGGAATATCTAAGAAACCGAATAGTAGACGCCTGTGAAACAATAAGAAACACACCAATAATTTTTGAGCGGGTACGAGATTCAATGACTAGACGACAATTTATTTGAACACAATTTAGTTTCGTTTATTTTTGTTTATTCTACATATTCAAAATTTCCTGAAATGAAATGTTGACATTTCTTGCAAATTGTATTAAAACAAATACTGATTATGCACCCTTGATACAAAAATAACTATTTCGCTGAAGGATGTCATAAAGGAACGTACCCAACAATAATGACCTCTTCAAACGAGTAAAACGACAAATTCATTTCCAAAGCATTCTAGTGAAAAAAGCAAAATATTTGTAATAACTTCAACATGCATCGATTATCAAATAATCGACTTGAAGTTTTCAAGTCCAAATATTTAGAAAACGGTTGCTTACAGCGACTAGTAACAAGGGTAGCTTATTTACTTAGATATGATAGAGGAATCGATTTTTTACTGAAAAATGTACTAGAAGTACGCCCAAAAAAGTTGGGAACCTTTAAAAAAGAAAAAGAGGTGTAGGTGGCGCCCCCTACGAGTAAGAGCAATAAGAATATCAGGTTCGAATTCGACACCTCGAAAACCTCTTATTACCAAGTTTCGTTTAATTAAGTTCAGTATTTCGAAAGTTATTTGAAAAAAACGAAAATAAAAATAAAACTTCAACATCCTGTATCTTGGAAACGAAGCGTTTCCGGACATTTATTCATTTGGACAATTCATATTAGAATATTGTGAGGAATCACCTCCTGAAGTTTGTCAAAGTACTTTTGAATCACCCTGTATATTAACATAAAATACGAGATGTGTTCAAAAAATTAGGTATATTTTTATTTTTCTCAAAAAATATTTATCAACCCACCAATTTTATGTTGTCGCCCCCAAAGTATTCCCCCTCCTTGTGCCAAAAATTTTTCTAATCCTCGAAGCAGTTTTGATATGCACCTTTTGGTATGTTTTTGAGCTCTCTCAGCAATTCAGTGATTATCCTCTCATTTTCAAGAAAAATTGGTACGTGTGAACCAGACTAATAGCTGATACATAAAATATCTATATACTTCAAATGTAGCTCACATTTTTTCCTTTCTCATTTCAGGACTGGTCGAATACGATGGAAGTATATATTCTTCTGGTTTATAGAGATCTTATGTGTCATCGCCTGCGTCAGCTTCATATTTCACAAGTATTTCATATCAGCGTATGAGGATTTCGGCATAAGGAGATTTTCATGGAAGGAGTTGATTGTCTCATTCTTGGAACATCTTCTTCCAGCAATGATGGTGTATTTGAGCGGTTTCTACCTGTTATTTCATTCATTCCAAAATATTTTTGCCGAGTTGTTGCGATTCGGAGACAGGCATTTCTACGGAGACTGGTGGAACTGTGGAAAGTTCTCTGAATATTTTCAAACTTGGAATGTAATTGTGCACGACTGGCTGTATATTTATCTTTATAAAGACATGTACGAACATGTTGTAAGAAATAAAAGTGTAGCCAAACTAACCACCTTTCTGGTATCAGGTATTGTTCATGAGTGGGCTCTTATGAATATGTTTGGATACTTCTTCCCTGCCGTTTTTGTATTCTTCATGGCATTTGTGATGATGTCAATCTTTTTGAAAATTCCCAATGCAAGTCTTGTGAATACATTGTTTTGGTTATCGTTACCACTAGGTTGTAGTTTGCTGATCAGTGGTTATACTCTAGAGTTCTTTGCTCGAAAGAATACTTCTAGAAGTGATGACTCATTGAAGAATTTCCTTTTACCAAGGTGGTTAACCTGCGATTGTATAGAGTGAGATGAGTTGATATTGTTCCGAAAATAATATGAATGTTCATTAGAATAAAAGTACATTATATCTCTTGTTTGATTATAATATGGTACTCCCGTGGAATGGTTATTTCCATACTACATACAGGGTGTCTTTATTGTTTTTGATAAAGAAATGTATTGTCCAAACAGGCACTATATCCAGTTACAGGATTCAGTATACAATTTTGACACGAAAGTGTTAGATATAGGAAATAACGGGTGATTCTCTAAGGTGGATCACCTCTATAAGTTTTTTATTATTGGAGATAGAAAACGAAATTTGGGGGTTGTGTTTTATTTACATTTTTTGGCATATTTACTCGCTTTACCATACTTCCGGTTTGACCGGAAATGACCCCAACTTCCGATTTTCAAATGGGACATCTTATATATTTTTACTTATTCCGATCGAGAATGACATTCTAAATCCAACAATACTTCAGTTGTCAATATTTGACAAATAAAATTATTTTTATTCCAATTTCAATTTTTTGATCTAAAATGCCATGAATCGTGTGAATCGCTTTATTCTTGATCAAGTATTACGGGAAAACTACGACTTCAACATTTTTCTATGAAGAATTATTTAAATTCTCAAGAAATACGAATGAAATGATGTATTCAACATTTAAATGGATTCGTTTCTATTTCACCATTAGGCAACATCGGTTATAGCAAATGAAGGACAATGAATCTGTTACCTGTATGAGACAAACAAAGATGACATATTTCAGAGGCGTGCTGTTCTGTTTACTTATGTTCCGAGACATTCTGTGACTTATGACATTTTGTGCACATAACCTATCTTCCTCTATATAAATAAATCTTCTTCTTCTAGCATACTACTAACCTGAACTCCGATCTAGCATTCTAGGCGCTGTTGCCAATATGTGAATTAGAAACAAATCCTTTTAAAAATTTAATACCAACATTTGAAACATCAATTTGAATACTTTCTGAAGTGAATTTGAAAAACTCATGAATTGAACTCAACTTAATTTTGTTCAAACTTGCATTTGCTATAATAACCCGAATTGAGGAATATTCCCCATTGAAGCTATTGCTTGGACTACCTAAACAAATAGGCTGATGAATATGTAGTTTATAATTAGATATGGCAAATTATACAAGAAACGACAAAATTGACATGTTGCTAATTTACGGATAAACAAAAAAGAATACAACTGATGCAGCTCGAATTTATGCTCAGAGGTTCCCTAATCGTCGCCATCCCAATCGGCATTATTTTCCAAAACTGAAAAAAAAATGCGAAATGAAACAGTAGAAAATGCCAATAACTTCATCGTCAGTGGAGAAAAAGAAGTAGACGTGTTGGCCTATGTCGAAGTGATTTGTACGGCGTCAATTCGTCAAATTGTTTCTGAGTGTGATATAAGTTATTCGTCCGTTTGGAGAATTCTTCACGAATATAACTATCGATCAAAGTCCCAACTATAGCAACATCTTTACGATAAAGATCACAACCGAATATTGACTTATTGTAACTGGTTTTTGACTGAATACAGAGAAGATGTACGTTTCCCATTTAAAATTATTTATTCATATGAAATCCGATACACCAACTTGGGTAAGTTCAATAGGAATATTAAAAGGTACTGGTTGGTCTCAAACAAATTACCATCTGATGAGAGAAGGACATTTTCAAGAGCGATTTGGTTTCAATTGCTGGATAGGTGTTATTAGAAAAAAACTTTTGGCACCATAATTTTCGACGGACAACTGACTGCGGGAAGATATCTACAGTTCCTCAGAAATCAAATTAATGATTTCACTTAAGATTTGCCACTGGCTAACCAAGTTGATATCTATTTTCAACAATATGGAGCGCCACCTCACAATTCCATGGCGTAAAAATTGGAATAAAAATTATTTTATTTGTCGAATATTGACAAGTAAAGTATTGTTGGATTTAAAAAGTCATTCTCGATCGATATAAGTAAGAATATATAGGATGTCCCATTCAAAAATCGAAAGCTGGGGTCATTTCCGGTCAACACGGAAATACGGCAAAGCAACTGAATATGTCAAAAAAATGTAAATGGAACTACTATACATAAACATCGAATTTCGTTTTTTTATCTCCAATAATAAAAAAGTATTAGGGATGAGCCACCCTAGAGAATTATCCGGTATATGCACCTCGTGATAGTAATACAATAATGGAATATTCAAAAGGAGAAAAATGAATTTTCAGTAAGTGTTTGATGATTTGCAAACAGAATATATAAAGTTTTGGGATGAAAGTGTTGAATATACATATATCGTAACAATTATACCCTTCATGGAATAAGAAACAAATTTCAAAAAAGTTTTTGTTGCTTCGCAAACATAATGTTTTTATCAATTTTTTAATATATTCAATGGTCTAACTTATTCGATTGATGGCCTATTGAATTCAGTTTGTAGAATATAATAAAAAGAAAATAACTTTTGTTTGATTTCTACAAAGTTGTTTTTATCATTTTATATATTTGTTACGACCGGTTTTGGTTTTTTTTTTAATATATTCAATGGTCTAACTTATTCGATTGATGGCCTATTGAATTCAGTTTGTAGAATATAATAAAAAGAAAATAACTTTTGTCTGATTTCTACAAAGTTGTTTTTATCATTTTATATATTTGTTACGACCGGTTTTGGTTTATTAAACCATTCTTGATCCCATTCTTGAGAATATAATCTAATGGGATGTAACAAATGAGTTGAAGAGGGTAATAAAACTTTCCATTTTTTGAAACATATACAATTTTTAAGTAGATTAATAGAATACCTCTGAACTGATGTCTGGTTAAGATGAAGTAGTAATAAACAAAGTGCTTTCAAATAATAATATGAATGGTGATTAGACTAATCTGAACCTGAAATCTGTATTTATAAAAAACAGAACATGTTCTCATGAATATAAAAATGTTAAGAAACAATATATTTCATTGAAAATGATTATTTGTATATGGAAAGTGAAGAAAGAAGGACAATTCTTGATGTATATTTCGACAGTATCGTTCTTGTCAACTTCATCAAAGTTATAAGTAAGCTCATAACCAGGACTTTGAATGATATCCAAACCCTTTATTTTGAATGTTTCTGATGAAAAAATGCAACCAAAAGTAGATTCAAACTCCTGAAGGAACATATTCAACTCATCGAATTCAGCTTGCACACCATTTTCAGATCTGTCCTTCCTTGATTATCTGTAATAATATTTTAAATGTGATAGTTTGTGAGGATGGATAAATGTATGTAGGTATATGACTCTTCCACTCCTGAATGGATTTGAATGAAACTTTACACGAATACAGCTTAAACATCAAAATAACATATAGGCTACAATTAACAAAGGTTTTGTGTAATTTTGGTCATAATATAAGTACAAGTATTAGGTAAGTCGGAAAAACTCTTGCTCCCTGAGAGCTATCCTGGCGTACCCTGCCTTCTCTGTTGGAGTTACATGCAAATTATTTACCTTAAATGGTTCTAAATAAAAGTCCGCGAAAACATATATCCACCTATCTTGTGGTAGCCACTATATGCAAAATACCGAGCCATAAATACAATTAAATTGGATACCTTTTTAACAATGCACATTTTGGAACATCCTATTGAAATTGATGCAATTTTCACTCACTGAATGACTCGCTGACTGGCTGACTGACCGACCCACTGAATGACTAAATAACTGACTCACCGAATGATTGACCCATCGATATACAAATTGATTGACTGACACACTCGCAGACAGACAAATTGACCAACTGAGTGACAAACTTACTGACTGACTCAGTCACTGACCGAATGAGTGCCTAACTCACTGACTAACCCACAGACTGATTGAATAACTCACCGCCTCATTCACCAACTGACTGATTGACTGACTCACTCACTGACCGGTAGCACTAAATCCATCAGATTTGTGCCCTGTGTAATTGTAACTGATAGCCTAAAAACAAGACTCTTCAGACAAAAAGAGCCAATCATTACCGATGAAACTTATATTCCCAAACGAACCTATCTGTACCAGGTATACCGTTCCTTTTATGTAAGCTCGTTGCGTGTGCGTAATCATTTTGAAAATCATCCCTGGTTTCAATGTCGTTGGGTATTTCCAACCTTCAACTAGTTTTTCAATTTTTTAATTCTTATTGTTTATGCGAGTAATGAAAACGTGAACCCGAATTTCCAAGACGCAACATTCAATAGATATTACAAAAAATATTTGAGTTATAAAACTTTTTTGTGAAAAAAAAGTGAACGCTCAAATTTTACAAATTTTATTTCTTTTACTAAAAGACACAACTAAAAAAATACAGATTGATGAAAAATGTGACACAACTCGAAAAATGTTCGAAAAAAGAATAATACTCGTATTACTTGTCGTTGAAAAAAAATTGAAGCGGTATCCTGGAAGTGCGATATACAATAAAAAAATTAGTTTCTTCGTCTCCTCAGTCTTGATCTCCAAGCATTGACCTCTGCGTCCTCATAGTATAACGGCTCCAGCTCCTGAAGCCATTGCACAATCATAATCATCTTCTGCTTTGATAAGTATTGTGATTGCAATTCCCACCCTTTGACAGTTGTAGCCTTGGAGGCCACTAACTCAGGGCTATCTTCACCTCTGTCTTTTCTGGTTCTGGACCTGTTTTGATTCTTCGACCTACTCCTAAGTTCAGAAGATCTAGACGTTAACCTCCGTCTCTTAGATGGCCTACTTCTTGATCTTGTGCTACTCCTGTCTCGGGAAATCGACCTTTTTCTACAGTATTTATTATGTACACCTTGACTTCGGCTTGAATCCTTATCAATTTTATATTTTTTTGAAGGTGCATCCACTTCAAACTGTTGCATATTTTCTAATACGATAACTATATCTTTCTGAATAATAGCAGCATCTTCCTTCGACCGAATCCTTTGGGGTTTCATTGGCCTATTTCTACGTTCTGTGTCATTTCCGAAACAGCTCTCAGAAGATCTAGACATTGACCTCCGTCTTTTAGATGATCTAGTCCTTGATCTTGTGCCACTCACGTG